TATATAATAATAAATTAATAAAATTCATTCAATAAAATAATTTGTAAAAATTAATTTAGCGTAAATTGGAATGTTTTCTTTGTAAAATCAAAAATAAGGTATTTAATTAATAACTATTGTGACTATAATGAAAAAATAGACTGGTTTGCATCAATATTAGATATAACTGGTTGAAGACTGTACCACCTCAGTCAACCGTGACCATGGGACCTGTAAAGGGCCCGGAACGTCGGTTTGTTTGAAAAAACAAATATACGCGATTTAAATCCGGAAAAATAGTTTCGTTTCTTATGTGTAACAATCGCGAAAGCCTAAGAACTAGATATAACGTATTTAGGAAAGATAGTTCGGACTCTTATGGTGGTGTAGCGATTATTGTACGTACACAAATCTATTAGAGCTCAAGCATGTCCCCTATTCTTAAATAATTGCAATGATGATGAATGATCTACTGTAGTTTTAAAACTTCAGATGTCGTTGCAGCCGTTGAAGCGGTCAAAGCTGATTTAAGAAACATCGCTCATTGGGCTGAGTCTTTTGGCTTGTTGGTTAATCCCAAAAAGTCGCAGGCCATGATTGTGGGAAGTGAGCGTATACATGGCACTTTGGACATTGATTCTGTCCCAATAATACAGTATAATTCAACGCCTATTGCCTACACTTCTACTGCTACTAACCTGGGTCTGCTTGTGGATTGTAATTTAGCTTGGACATCACAGAAAAGTCCATTTCTCCTTGCACTTGCTTAAGCGCCTCCAAAACTTTACGCCTTTAAAACCAAGATCTGTTTAGCTCAATCTCTTATTTTACCCTTCTTAGACTATGCAGATTCCTGCTATTTAGATGCTACTGAAGAACTGGTAAATAAGCTCGAAAGGTTGCAAAATCTACGAGTATGTATAAGGTTCATCTTTGGCCTTTGTAAATATGATCGAATCTCACATTATCGCAATCAGCTCAAGTGGCTTCCCATTCGTGTCCGCAGGAATTTGCATATCGTCTCTCTTAAGGTAATCCTTTGTCTCCCAGGTATCTGAAAGAGCGTTTCAGCTTTCTCAGGTCCCAGGATAAGCCTTGTCGCTCTCTCGTTAGGTCCCAATTATCTTTTCCATCATTCAATTCCGGTTTTTATTCTCACTCCTTTACTGTTCATGCGGTCTTGGAACGCACTTCCCATTACTGTACACGACAGTCAATCATTAAAAAAGGAACACTATTTATCGCCTGTTCCATCCATTTTATAGATATTATAATATGAAATATGCATTTATCAGAGTATTTATGTAGTCCATAGTAATTTAATATTTTTGCTGTTTTTTTTTTATTATTATTTTATAACATAATTTACTTTTGTTTTGTTGTGCACGTAAACCCGTAATTAATTGTGTCCTGTATTTTGGTCTGCAGGAAGAAATTTCTTATAGAAATAAGCAGTATCTTTTGTTTGTTTTTTCCGTTTTACGAAATGTGATTTGTTTTTCTGTCCAATAAATTATTAAATAAAATAAATAAATAATTCTGGCATCGAAATTGTACGTTTTAAAGGAGGGTTTTAAATTGTGCAAGTCTATGTAATGTCGTGTCCCCGTATTGCCCTTCAACAGTGCAAACGACTCGGCTTGATTGAGATTTTTCTGCGTTCTCGGGTAAAGCTTTTTTTACGAAAACGTTGCAGCTGATTTTAATGCTCACCATTCGGAATGGTCATACAAGTGCGACCCGCGAGGTATTCAGTTATTTGACTCTGCACCAAAGAATAGATATGTTCCTCTCAACAACGGGGAAGCGACGAAGGTTAAATTTGTTAATGGCATGTTACGGGAGAGCTCGCCTGATGTTACATTTACAGTTTGTTCCTCCGATATTAAATTTCTTTTAGAACGTTTCCAACGTACAATTGGGTAGTGATCACCTCATTATTAAAATTATTTTCAATTATCGTGATTAACGACTTATTAGTAATAAGCTAAATTCCAAAGATGCTGACTGGGCAGGTTATCGTAAATTTTTTGAGGAAGACTTGTATAATGAAACGAATGTCTTAGGTGAAATGATCAGGCAATGTGTGATATTTTTGTAGCCTTAATGCAAAGGTCAATAGGTAAAAATATTCCTTTAGTTAAAATATGTACAGATCCTAGTCGGGCTTTCAAACCAAAAAGTTATTGGAGTCCTTTACTATTTAAGGCGGTTGCAGAAAAGCGACTTGCACTTGGTCTGTTTCAAAATGTCGCAGCAGAGGATACCTAGCACAGGCGATACGCCTTATTTGCAAGGCTAAATCTCAGGGTTCGCAGGATTTTTGTCACAGTACCTATAGATCATACCACCTCTGCATCTACCATGTGGATTCGTATGAGATGGATGAAGGGTTTTACTCGTCATAGTTATTGCGTCGAAGGAGAAAAAAATAAGAATTATTGTGTTCTCTAACGCCTGATTCCGTACTGTGCGCGACACCTATTTTGAGTTCTATTAATTCCCTTCTCGAGCTGGATAAGTGCCTTAAGAAAAAAGACGGCCAGTGACTTGACAGCATCAGTTATTCATTGATCTTCAATCTACACAAGTTCGCTAAAATGTATTTTTTTCTTTATAATAACGCAATAATTGAGTGTGTACTCAACATAGCCCGCACTAGGGAAACCCTGTGTCGCGGGTGCTATGTGTGTCACACATAGACAACCACAAATTACACCCAAACTCACGAGAGAAATAAATGTAGGCCATACAAATATTTCTCCCGGCCCGGGAATCGAACCTAGGACTTCTGCGTGGCAGTCCGGCATGGTAACCGTTTGGCCACGGAGGCAGTTCTTTGTCGAGAAGGTCGTTCGTGTTCTTGATAGTTCAGGAATTGGGTGCTTAATTTGTAAATACTTATGGGCTTTTTTGAGCGAGTCTAGATGACTCATACTAGACGAGGAAGGTAAGAGTCCTCTTGCGAGGTGGACTGACAAAGGCTTAGCCCAAGGAGATCCTCTTTCTCCTCTTTTATTTAATATAGTTACTTACCAAGTTTGTCGTGAGATTTATAAAGTTTTGATCTCCGTGTATGATTTGTTTTATACATCAAGTCCAAATGCCTTCAGCACAGTATTAACATGATACAGGAGTCTTTAGAGGTAATGTTATTTAACATTAACATTTAATATATTTATATTGGACAGTCTAGGTTCAGATGTTTCGATAAGTAAATCAAGATTTAGTGTTTGTAGTAGAGGTCGCGAAATTCCACGTGTAAGCCAATAAGTATGAGGGCAGGAGTTGTGCTCTGAAGAGACATATAAAATATAGGGTTGTGGCGAGACCGATCCTAAGGTGGGGTAAGCATCTCAATTAAGTGTTTGAGAAAACGCAGATATATCTTAGTATTTTAAAAGTCTCTGGTGCCTCATGCGGAGTTCATCCTAAGCAACAAATTTAAAATAACTAAAAAAAAAACAAAAACCTCTTCATAAAAAATATTAGCAGAGGAAGCTAATCTGAACCTCTAAACGTGTTCAAAGCTGCCCCCTTTGATTTGTTCAAATCTGCCCCAAAGGGTATACCTCTACAAAATAACAAATTTATTTCAGGCGTAAAATAAAAACACTCAATGATTGCAAGTTGTAGGTTTAATATTTTTATCAATAAAACAATACAATAGAACTTTGCTTGTCGTATGCATACGATATCTATATTCTTCCAGTAATATCCTTACAGCTCTTCGACGCTGAAACTAAACACGACAGCGTTCGTGCGCATCGGTAAATTCAAATTCATCTAATTTTTCGTTTTTCTTATCCTGTTCATTTTTATAACTACATAAATAAAATGCAAAAATTAACCTTCCTGGTAAAAAATAATATTTTGACGAAACAGGTTGAAAATGCTTTAAAAAATGCAAAAATTTAACCCAACCACATTATTAGCTCATTTTTATCAAATTGACTATCACCACCTTTCTTCTCCTGGGCATCGATATGTTCGATACGTCCATTGCTACAAGTACCTCGATAAGACGAGCATATGTTCTTACTAATGTGGCGAAAAAAGAGGGAAATAAGGGTTAATGAAACAGCAATATAAGATGTGCCGTTGCTCACTCTTTATTACGCTTGTTAATTCAGTATATAAAAACAAATTATTTAAAATATCACCACTGATTGTTGCATAACGTACTTATTATCTGCGAGCCTTCTCGTTTTGACAAATATTAAATTATGCGGGTGCAAGCTCCAATAGCGGATAAGTGGATTAAAAAAGTGGACAGTTTTCATATTATACCTAAGGACAAAGTCTTATTTCAAATGTGGCAAAGTAAATATTCAGAGTCTTAGGATCGTATTCTAGAACTCTATTCAATGCTCAAGTCAGGATTGCACTGGCAACACAAGCACTGGAAATACGACCTTAATGGCAGGGACTTGAGTATGATTTCTAGTGCTTTGAATCATACTCAAGTCCTGACTTAAGCATTGAGTAGAATTCTAGAATACGACCCTTAGATTATTAGATATTGAACAAATTCACAACTGGTTCAAATTGGTTCTTCTAGCTCGGACAGCCGGTACCGAAATAGTTCGTTAATTATCCGTTAAGAGAACAAGCACTCGCAGCAAGAAACGGGTAGCGACTGTGTAGTGATGTGTACTGTATCGTAAAAAAGTGTAAAAATATGAATGTGGCCAACGAAGGTCGTGCGGGCGCACAGTCGCGGGCGGGCTCGCAGCCGCGCGGGCGCAGCGGCGCAGCGGCGCAGCGGGTGGACTAACACAAGTGAAGACACGCATACGTTAACAAAGAGCCGCTCCTCCGCTCCATACAATTTGTTATACCTACTACATCTAAGTCCGCACTTACGGCTACTAACTTAACGCTATGTACATACGATCTTTATCCAAGCGATTTAAAAAAGTCTTAGTACTTTTATCGTATTAATTTGAAAATTTGTTAAATGTCTTTATCGTTAAGTTCACTGGTTCCACTCTCACCACATTTTAATTATTATTATGTTGTTTTTATTTCATTCGAATAACACAATAGAGTAACAGAATTTAGCCCTGCTAAAAAACTACTAACATAATTACACAACTAGGGTACAACCGACTCTTGTACGGGTGGCGAGACGGCGCCGGCGCCGGCGGAGGCCTCGCCGGGCCCGGGCGGGCTCGTCAGGCAATTGACATTTAAACGATAACATATATCTACGAAGGAATCGCGGTCCTGCTGTCGCGATTCGAGATCAACCAGCGGAGGCGCTGCGGCGCAGCCCTCTCGCATCGATGCAATACCGTTTTATCACAATGGACGAATAAAATAATCTTAGGGCAACGTAACTATCGACGACCTCGTACGAGGGTCCTACCGACTTTCATTCGCGGGATCGGAACTTCGCTGTTACGATCCGAAACAAATCGCGATTCTAAAACACGACATTCAAAAAGTATAGTAAAACACCTCCAAAATGTAACGAATGTAGGTACATTCACGCGCGCGACACACTTAGTAACTCGTAATTTTGTACTTTAATCACTGATTGCGTGCAGTTACAAAGAAAGACATCGGCGGCGGCGGCGGCGGTGCGACGAGTGACCGTATCGAGTCGACACAAACACGATTTCTTAAAGACGCACTGTCGATTTCGTCATATTCCTTCGCAAATTCGCTGATCGAGCTCTACCGAAAGTATCACTACCGAGTGCCCCTTTTCGGCCTTCAAAGATTTCCTCGGAAAAGAAAATATTTTGAGTTTTTGGACGGGCAGAATCGTGTCGCGTCGACGCGGTGCGGGCCGTCGCTAACGCGTCAGGGTTAGCGGACGAGAGACGACGGACACACGCGTCTCGCTGCCGGCGGGCGAAAGACGAATTCGCAACCTCCGGAAACGACAGGACGGCGACGAGCAGCTCCGGTCGGGCGTCCGTTCGAAGCGGGGGCCGCGGACGGCCCGCCCCGGCGCCGGCGCGGCTGCCCGTTCGGCTCCGCTCCCTGCGGCCGAGCGGCGACGGCGCGCCGACGACGCCGCGGTCTCGCACTGGAAGGCACGTCGCGTGAGAGGCCGCTTTCGCCGGGCGGGCGCAGGCTCCGAAGGGGCGGGCGGCTACCTGGTCGCGCGGGCGCCTCACCAGCAGAAGACGGACAGCTCGCCGCCGTGCGCGCTGCCCACGGCGCGCCAGGAGCGCACGCCGGCGCCGCCGCCCACGCGCAGCTGCGGACGAACGCTTTTGTTGCTGAATTGCCGTTGC